CTGAAATCAAGGCCCTGGACAATCTGGCCATCATGTCTCTTATTTTTAACAGATGAGTTTGATGCTGTTTATGATCACTTACATCTCTAAATATCTATACTTCTTACACTATTTTACAAAAATACACTCCAGTGGGTTCCCCTTTATCAACTGCAAAAGAAATGTATCAGGAAAATCAAAGGGAGAGTAGCAAAGAGTAACCATATGCCAAATTATAAAATCCAGCAAACAAAAATGCTGACAGGTAAATGGTTTATAAGAAAATATATGGAAAACAATCAAACTATGAGTACGGTATGCTAAACTTTTGTGAAAATGGAAATTCAGACATGGCATAAGTCTTTAAGATCATGAAATACAAAAATCTTTAGTTTATGAACAAGGACAGTGAAGCTCAGAGTTATTAAGTCACTTGAATTAAGATGAAGCAGCTAATTAGTGAGGATGTTATTGATGGTTGAAAGTATAGAGATTTGAACCCACTTTATCATAGCTACATATCATGGGTAACTCTGATTATTTTGGCAAAAAATATAGAATATTTCCAACAAGAGTTTACAATTTTATCTCCAGTTGTTTAAGTCCAAAAAGACCAATATTTCAGAGAATATCTTATATGATGCTTTTAAAAATTGAAATGTAGAGAAGAGATTTCTGAAGCCATAATTCATAATTAAAGTTATCTAAAAATGAACACTCATGGCTTCAAAGGGATTGGCAATATTAAAAAAACATGTATACATGTATAGATTTGTCAAAAGGGCAGAAAAGGCTTGAAATTATCAAACTGAAAAAAGAATCTAATCAGTTCCCAGACTGTAGACACATTCTTTAGGTAGAAAATATACCTGCCCTCTGCTGACCACCTAAAATCCTACCTTGTGGCATGTGGTTTACAGCATAATGCACATAAACCAGAATATATTTAGGAGCTAGTCTATTTCTAGTCACACAAGTTTTGTTTCCTAAATAAGACTTCGGATTACCATTTTGGTTTGTTCCCAAAAATTTCAGCACTCCATATGGTTAAAGATGTAGTCCCTCCCATCTTCTTAACAAGACCTGGTGTGAACTGTGTACAGTACTGTCTTCTAGCCATTCACTCCCACGCATATTCCACAGTGAAGAGAAATGGATGGCTTCAGAGGGAGGCAGGAAATGAGAAAGACAGGCATGTTCCAAAGTTGAGATTCTGAACTGCTTTCCAACTTTTCAAATGTGAAAATTTCTTTAGTTTGCAAAAACTGTTATAAATGATAGCACTGAACATATACTTTCAGCTTATGGAGAGTCACACGACATGGTAGTTCTCTTAATTACAGCTCAGAAACCTACTACAGTGGATTTTTAGTGCATTAGTAAAAATGCTAAAGTTGTAATTTTATCTTATCTAAAACAATTATCCATAAGGCTACACAAGTCTGAATGTAGTAAAATTAGTTTTGTGAATAAACTTACCTGTTCATGAGTGATCATATTGATTTTCTTTTCTGACTCTCTCCAGTTACAGGTTTAATGGTCTTATTTATTTATATTAACCAAAAAAGTGGCCCAAAAGATTTCTAGAATTTCTGTAGCACTGATAAGTTACATGCAAGGAAATTATGACAATGAATTATCAATACTTGGATGTAATTCATTTGAGAAGATAATCCAGTTAGGGAAGAAAATAGGTTACTTCACTAAGTTTTCACCATGCATTTGAAACCTTGGTTAAATGATGAATGACTGTTTGCTATAGCACATGTCGACACAATATTAAAGGCACATATTTTAGTACTTCATATCCTTTTTGAGAGAAAAACATTTTTGATGGTCAGTATACACATAAAAATTCAAATCCTCCCAATCAGCTTTCAGGTGATTGTTGTATGGATCAACCAGACCCGTAGTATTCTTTCTTCCAAAATATCTTCCATCTGTATTTTATTATTCATTGTTACAATCATTAGTGAATAATAAATATTTCTTTCAGATATTTCCTACATTAATAAATAGGTAGGTAGGTATTTAGACAGGCATAAACAATATACAAAAGTCTAAAATATAGGAAGTGAACTAAGAGGCATTATCCATATTTCAAGGAGAAATTATTTTGCAATTTTCTGATGCACTTCTAGTATTTCATTTTTTTAAACTAACTTACTCATCTTTTTCTGTGATAATTTTCCAAGTGAAGTTATTTTTTAAAGTCACATTTAAGTTAGTGACTGATCTACAATCAGCTTTTTTATATATAATTATTTATATATAATGAGGGAGTGAGAAGAGATGACGAGACAATTGACTGAGAGTCTTCAGTGTACCTGACACTACTATGTGCTTAACATCACTCTCTTATTTACTCCTCAAGTCAAAACTATGTGGCATGTCTTATTATTCCCAATTTACTTAGGAGAAAACTAAGGCCTAGAAAAGTTAAGTAATTTATCTAAGATTACATAGTTGGGAGGTGGCTATGCTTTGATTCAAAGGTGCATTTGACATAAGCATAAGAAAATGCCTGACTTGACCATTTGAAAAACCAAATTAAATAAAAACAAATCCCCTAATAAAAGGAATCACCTTTTTTTAAGAGTTTCTAATACCTGGTGGATTTTCCAAAACAGAATGCAAAGAATATGAGATTAGTGGCACAAGATTATTAGCTACACACCAGTTTTTTTTAAAAGTAGATTATCTATTATACATCTCTGCAAAACTATTGCACTATACTTTAAAATATTGTTTTATTTTACTTTATTTTATTTTTATTATAATGTTCATGACCATTTTACTCTATTTAAAAACGTTCTTCTGAGTTAAATTATAATTAACTTATTGCAATCATTAGAAACACACAATTAAATTAAAAAGTTGAATGCAATATATTTTTATACATTATTATTAAACCTAAAAAGTGTAGAACTCATTGGTGTCTAATCCCTTAATGAAATGCGTGGAGGGGGTGGTACAGTGCCTTGATTTAAGAAGTCTTGACAAACACACAAACATTTTGAATCTTCACTTTTTCTCCTCACCAAAGAGATTTTTATGCCTTAAGGTAATGGTAAGTTTCAACAAGAATTGGAAAATTATAAAAGAAGAGGTATGATAGATTCCTTGGCATCCAAGCATGATGCCAAGGAGTATATCAATTTAGATTAAATTAGAATGTCAGTTTAGGTTAAAAGCTTATAAAGTATATAAATGTTAAGAGCCCAGGAACTACCTTCACACTATCCTCTACATGTCCTCCAAGGCAAGTACAAACCCCACTGTATATTCCATTTTTCTAAAGATTTTTTACCCCCGCAGAGTCTCCAATCCCCATTACATTTTAAGTGCGCAACCTTTTATAAACAGATTTAAATATTAATACTTGAATGTGTCCATCATTATATTCTTCAACACTGTCAGCTGCTGGTATGTAGTTCAATGTCTACAATTTCTATATTTCCAGTCTTTTCTTTTTCTCCACAAAGACAAATTGATCCTCTCCTTCCATTCAAAAATATAGTCCTCTCTTCCTCCACTGTCATTGCACCATTCCAGCCAGGCACGTCAGATAAAGTCCTCTTCTCCTCTGAATACTGAGATCCTCCAAGTTCATCCTCTAAGCACTGGGTCAATTATCACTTCTTGCATGAAGTCCTCCCAGAACAACAAAGAAACACACTCTCTCCCTCCTTTTTGAAGTCCAGCAAAAACCAGTGTTCTTACCATTATTCTTTACCTCATCTTTACCATTTAGTATTCTCAATGACATTGTTTTGTGAATAGATGTCTTCACTTCCCCCACAATGCTTCCCTAAATGTCATATTGGAAAGTGTATTGTCATCAAGTCAATTCATGTTTTCCACCTGGTACCATGCAATATTCCAATAAACCACGGGCAAGATCTAGTGTGTCATAAAACAATAAAACTACAACTCTATATAAAAAATAATTTGGGGGGAAAATAAAACTATAGCTTGAGTCATAGAGATCTTGGGCTGAAACAGATCTTAGAGTTCCGTTCACTGCACAGGCTACATGTGGAGAAGGTGGAGAGTCATACTAATGGAGTTATGGTTTGCCCATGATCTCCCTATAGTGTGAGAGGGGCAAGGTAGTAGACAACCTCCTCATTTTGCAGATGGGAACCCTGGGGCACAAAGAGGGTGAGAAACTGGCCCAAAATTTCAGAGCTGGGATAGGGTGAGAATGCAACTCGAGCAGCGCTCTATTGACACACAGACCGAGGCTCTTACTAGTATATTCTACTGCCCTGCTATAAATGCCAATTGAAAGGGGCATACTTTACACACCAATTACTTAAGGAACCTTAATTTGCAATAAAGTGTTCAACTACCATAAAAAATAAAACAACCAAACCATAGATCTAAAACCAATATATTCCTTATAATAAACATTAAACAAATAATAACAAATAAAAAAGCCCCAGTGAGTTCCTGGAAAGTGACAGCCATTCCTTTGTTTGCACAGTCCCCAGCACACCAGTCACCAAAGTCCACCACTGGCCGCAGACTTCACACACAGCAGTCTCTAGAGCTGTAAAAGCTATTCAGGGGAAATGTGAACACCTTTCTCTCCCCCATAAATCTCCCAGGAGCATGCAGAGATAATCCAAAAATTAATTGATCATTTAATTCAAAGATTAATTTGCAGCATCCAAATAATTTGAGGCTGTCACTAAAGACCTTAGTTGAGAAGATTTAGAACTCTCATTCTCAGCCAAGGCTGAACATTTGGATTATACTGGGGAGTTTTGAAAACAGGTTCTTCAGTTCTCACCAACTGAATCGGAATCTTGGGGTGAAATCTGAGAAGCATTTAAAAAAAACATTGATGCACTTCAATTTCAGAAAATTCTGAATCATTGTGTGAGTTAAGAATCACTTGCTCGAAAAGTAACAGAAATTTTGTCAGGTCCTTTCCCTTTGTTTTTTTTTCCTTTATATTTTCTCCCCAAACTGGCAGGATTTTTTCAACTTCAAGTGACAGAAACCCAACCTACTTAGGCTCAAAGGGGAATTTGTTCAGATAACTAAAGTCAGGAGTGAAACTGGCCCCGGGAGTGACAGGCACCAGGGGCTTCATGCCCTTAGAACATTCAACTTTTTGAGTTTCTTTCCCACTTGATGTCCTCTCTTGCCCATTTCCTTGTTTGGATCCCATGGCTAATCATCATAACTGTGCCTGGCTTACCCCTTCAAGTGCCTGTCCCTTTCATACTACAGGGAGCTCATGGGCAAAACCATCACTCCATTCATATGATGCTCTGCCTTCTCCATGTGTAGCCTAGGCAGTGAACATGGCTGGAGAAAAATACACAATCCTACTAACAGGTATCACTTTAAATGAATGACCCCAAATCTCCAGCAATCCTGAACTCCATCAGTAACCATGTCACATTTCCCTGCTTCATTCACTGTCCCACGTTTCTGGATAACTAATTCACTCCTTCCCTTTGCTTTTTTCCTCAAACTCCAGATACCTAGTCCCCCGTATTTACTCTCATCAGATGACCTTGCTTCCTACTTTCTCTTTAAATTACTTCAATTCCTTTGACAAAATTGAAATAATTTGCAGAAAACTTTCCCAGACTCTCAGCATCACAACCACCCACCAACCAGCATCACACACCCATGCTCTGCCTTCCTACCTCATTCTGTGAAGGAACAATCCATGGCCCTGACCAACCCAACCCTCCTCTTACACATGAGATCCCACATGTGATGATTAATTTTATGTTTCAGCTTGGCTGGGCCAGATTGAGTGTTATTCTGGATGTTTCTGTGAGGGTTTGTGAGATTAACATTTAAATTGGTGGATGCTCACTATAATGCTGGTAGCCTTATCTAACTAGTTAAAGGCCTGAAGAGAACACAAAGGCTGACCTCCCCTGAGCAGGAGAGAATTCTGCAGCACATGGCCTTGCACCTGAATTTCAACATTGGCTCTTTCCTTGATCGTCAGCCTGATGGTTCACTCTGCAAATTTTGGACTTTGGACATGCTGGCCTCCATAATCACATGAGCCAGTTCTTTATAACACACACACACATACACACACACACACACACACACACACACACAGCCCTCCTACTGGTTCTGTTTCTCAGGAGGACGTTGACTAATAGTCTCTCTCATTAATGCAAGGAATTCTCTCTGGAAATTCCACCCCCCCTTGTCTATATCATTTTCTTTTCCTATGGAATCTTTGTCACTTACATTCAAACATGCTGTCATTTCTCTTATATATCTAAACAAAATCTGTCCTTAGTCACATGTCCCCCACCAGCTACTGCCCTATTTCTCATTCCCTCTCCAACAAAACTTTTTAGAAGATTTATCTGTAGTCACTGTCTCAAATCTCACTCCTGTTGTTTTCCATTAAGCCTCCTCTAAAGAGTTTTTTATCTCTGCTACTCCACAGAAACTTCGTTTGTTGAGATCAACAATGATCTCTACCTTACCAAACCTAGGAGACTTCCTGGTACTTATCTAACTTGACTGACCAGCAGCACCTGACACAGTTCATGGGTCGTTCTTCCTTCACTTGGACACCCCTCCTCAAGGTTTTTCCCCACCTCACTGACTGGACCATTGTCAGTCTTCTTTTGCCCAAGGCGCAGTTCATGGTCCTCTGCTCTTTTGTATCCACACTGCTTCCCCCTTATTTCATCCACTTTCATTGCCTTAATTTTCTATCTATATGCTAAGGATCCAAAAACTTGCATCTCCAATCCATGCCTCTCTCCTAAACTTAATATTTAAATATCTGACTACCTACAGGACATGTCCATCTAGCTATGTAATCAGAAATCTGAACTTTAACACATCTAAACTTGAGAAATTGATCTTCCCTCCCAAACACACCCATCCACAGTACTCTACATCAGCTCTTAGCAACTCCATCCTCCAGTTGCTCAGGCCACATATCTCAGAGTATTATTTCAGTCCCCTCTTTCAGGAAATTCTGTCAGCTCTACCCTAAAAACACAGGGTCTAGAAGAAATAACACCTGCTTGAGCATGGTTGGTAGGGTAATAATATGGGAATAATAATTTATAGTTCTAATTTGAACATTTCACCTAAAATGTCATATGTTGTGCTTAAGTGTGATATTGTAATGGTACAGAATTACATGCTTATGATTTCATAGTAAAAGATTTTGTAATAAAAAGGGGAAATTATTTGTGCCAGACCTTGTATATTCAGATTTCTGACTACTTCTCACCACCATATGTCTAACCTGAGCCACCATCACTTCTTAACATCCTATAGGTGTCTGGTTTCTGGCCTGCTCTCTTTCCCCTGCAGCCAGAGTGATTATTTTACAATGTGAATCAGATGTCCTGACTCCACTGTCCCCAACTTCCCAATATCTCCCATTTCCCTAGGAATAAAAGCCAAAGCCTTGCAAAAGTCTTCAAAGCCTTTCGCAAGCTGACTACTTGTCACTTCTCTGACCTGATATTCAGCCACATCACGCATCACTCACTTTGCTCTCAGAACACTGGCCGCTTACTGCTCCCCAGAGACATTAGGCATGTTTCCACTTTACTGTCCTAGCACTGGTTGCCGCTTCTGACTGAAACATTCTTCCCACCAAAATTCCAGTCACCGCCTCCTCACTTCAATTCTGTGCACAACTATTACCTCCTCAATGAAAGTTAACCTACATAAAATTACAACCAGTTATACTTCTAGATCCCTCCGCTCTATTTTTCTTTAGCACTCACTCCTAACATGTCATAGAACTTTTTATTTATTTATTGTGTTATTAATGTCTGCCTCCAATGTGAGCTCAAGTGCAGACTAATTACTTTTGTCCCTTTTGTTCATTGGTATTTGCCGAGCATCTAAAACAATTTCATTTGGCATACATTTGACATTCAAGAAATGTTTAAATAAGACAGTCAGAGAAAGACAAGTACCATATGATTTCACTTATATGTAGAATCTAATGAACAAAATAAACTAACCAACAAAATAGAAACAGACTCATAAATAGAGAACAGACTAACAGCTGTTGGAGGGGTGAGGGGGGTTGTGGGGTTGTGGGGCTGCATGAAGAAGATGAAGGGATTAAGCAAAAAAGAAAAATTCATAGACACAGACAACAGTAAGGTGATCACCAGAGGGAAAGGGCGGGAGGAAGTAGAAGAAGGCAAAGGGGGGATAAATGGTGACGGAAGGAGACTTGACTTGAGGTGGGGAACACACATACAATATACAGACGATGTACTATATAAAGTACACCTGAAACCAATATAATTTTATTAGCCAATGTCACCCCAATAAAGTCAATAAAAATAAATTAATTAAAAAATAAAAGAGAAATTAAAAATGACCTTCGGTTATCCTCTCTGCTTTTTTTCTGCTAATCAGCTAAACCTTCTCTCAAGGTGTAGACCTGCTTCCCTCAAGATGGGGCAAACGGCTGCTAGCCATTTCCAGGCTCACATCTTTACAGCACCAGGACCGTAAATGAATGGAGTCTTCCATATCAACTGCAGCTTGAAAAAAATGAGGTGAAAGACTCTTAGGTCACATGCCTACCCTTAAGCCAATTGCTTTGGCCCAGAAGATGCATCTTGTGAAAGAATGGTAGATAACATATACGTGTAACATTGAGATGCTGGGGAAGATGTGACATTTGGGAGACTCGCCTTCAGCTGACAGCCACCTCCATTTATTTCTACTGTCCTACCCACCATTCTGCCCCTTTTCCTGATAAAAATCATGAGGTTAGAAGCAAAGAAAAAATAACGTCAACAATAGGACAACAGGGTATCCTGTAGACACTGCCCATTCATTATGTCCAAAAAAGTGACTTCATCCTCTGGGCCCCAAACCTAATCTTCCTAAACAGTTTCTACCTTGTTGAATGGCCAGTGATAGACACTCAGACTAGAAGCCTAGGAATCATCCTTGCACCTTCTCTCTTTCCTCCATCCGCATGCAGCCCAAGCCCAAGTCCAGTCTAGTTTCTGCTCCTAAGAATTTCTCTAATATAGCTCTATTATGAAGGGTTGTTTTGTTTTGTTTCCATTTGTGTGTGTGTGCTTATCTCTATCCTGCCTACCTATCACATTGTGTAATAAAATTGCTGGACCCTTTATGTATCTCTGTAGACTTTGGGTTAAACATAGAAATTGACTTTCCTCTCTGTACATCCAGCAGCAAAAAAGCATGAATATTGTAGGCAACCAACACATATTTGTTGAATTGAACTGAAAAGAACATGTGAAAGGAAAGACTAATGGATCTGAGGGAAAGCAATTTCTTTTGCCTTGGTGACTGTTGGGTAATTTATGTCAACAGTAACAGTTGACATTAGTAGCCTCAGCTTCTCCTAGTGTAAGAAACACAGCCTTAAGGGATCACCTCACTTCACCTGTCAGTATTGTTAGGCACTAAGTGTGCAAATACTGACAAATGTAGGTGTTAAGCAGTCTTAAACTAATATAGCAGGGAAGTGTGAACATTTGAAGATTGAGACATATTTATACATTTTCCTAATGCAGCTTTATATATACTCTGTGTGGAAGAAATGGTATCTTATTGTACTTTCTGCACCCCTCAGGGTTTTGGATATTGTAGGAGTTCAATAACTATTTGCTGAATAGTGCATACCTGCTTTCCCTCAAGGGTATAAGAAATGAAACCTTTTCAAAACTCATCCATCTGCCTCGAAAACTACTATTCTGAGAGGTAAAATAAACTGTGGAAAGTCTTACCTCAAATAAGTAGCAGAGGTAGTATTTAAACTCTTCTTTATCTCTCTAGTTCTAAAGTGCTAGTTCTTCACCATACTGCCATATTGCCACCTGAAGTATTTGGAACAAATGTATTGAATACCTCACCCTCTGCTATTTTGTTTTTGTACCAAGAGTTTCATCCAATTTGTGTTTTGAAGTGGTCTTCTTGCCTCTGATCTGAGTTCTGGCAGCATGTTCAGATTTCCAAATGTCCTCATCTAATCCCATTTGAACAACTCTTTTCTCCAATTCTCAGAAAGAGTATCGCCCTCAGTTTTTAAAAATGAGTTGTTTCTCATGGCCCTGAACCCTCTGGGATTCAGGATCTTATGATCCTTTTATGTTGGGCCCTGAAACTACTCTGTAGTTGACAAGCAGACTAAAAGGAATTCCCACTTGTCTAACTGGC